TTTTTTTTTTTTTTTTTTTTTTTTTTTTTAAGTTTTGAAATATTATAAAATTATTTATTTGGGGGATGAGGGAATAAAGGCAATTAAGGGTAGTTTGGTAATTTGGTTTGCCAATTCCACTCTGCTCCCCATGCTCCTTACCAACTTCAACGCTGTCGTTTCATGTCGCTTTCCCCTCATCCTATTTTCTTCTTTTTCTTTTTTCTTTGCTTTTCCTCATTATATAATTTCATAATTTAATAATTAATACTCCTCTGCCCTGCCCTGCCTGCCCTTCTACGTCACATCTGCTGCCCCTTTCCAACTCACTGCGCTCTAAATTTCTCCTCATTTAAATGTATTCAATATCTTTATTTTAAATAAAATTAATTACAAAATGATGTTTTAATTAAAAAAAAATTGATAATTAAATAACATAATAATAATAAGAATAATAATGATGGTGGATGAATTATTATGAAATAATAATATGATTCAACATTTGTTTGGATGTATGGGTAACAAAATAAGAAAGAAAGTCTATTTGTATGTTTAAGATATGATATGCTCATAAACAGGCCAACCAATTCCAACCAATTCCAATAACACAAGATTAAGTCATCAAATCATGTTTAAATTTTATAAATAGTTATACCCACTAATTGTTTAAAGAAATTGTTGGATTTAGGGAGCATTATGATTTTAATTTTTTTTTGTCTTGTTTTTATTTTTATTTTATGGTATTATTTCTTATACTACTTATTTATTTTATTAATTTATGTTTATTTTTTTTATTTTCATTTACGAATAATATTTATATGCAACACTAAATACAGTTCTCAAACATCATTTTCAAATATTCTAAACCTAAACGACCATATTTAGAAGATCAACCACAAATAAATTAGTGCTTATTGGATACTTTGGGCCAACACCTAAAGGTTTCTCTTGAAATAGAATATGGGCCTTCACGGGCTATATTATCTTTGGGCCTTTCTACGATGATGTGATATTATCTATTTGACCATCAAAGACTTTATATCAATAAAGATAATATTCCAATTATAAACTTAGTTCAATAATAATGGAATTATTTTTTTATGCTCCCAGTTGATGAGAAGGGGAGGCCGGGCTGAGGAGGATGGTTTGGCTCATTACACCCCGTTCATTGATTTTTGCTTATATTATATTCAATATGGGACCCACATCCCGTTTTTGCACGGAGACTTTTCGACTCAGTCGTCCTTTTCCTTTTAAATTTTGGAAAAAAAAAATATTAAAATAATTTGAAAACTCAATTATTGGCGTACGGGGGTGTAATTTGTCGTTGCCTCGTCAGCACTCGTGGCATCTCCAAAAGACAAAAAATGACGTGGTAGGTGGGCCCCCAAATAAAAGCTGGATGGATTTTGAACGGCCGTAATAATTTAGTGGCGCGCAGCTGACGTGGACTTTATGCGACACTCCCCGGATCTTAAACTAACTTTATATTCTTAATTTTATATCACCCTTGAAGTCCTCGAGGCAGGTCCGTTTTACCTCTCGCACCCACCAGTTATCTGATACCTTCTATATACGTCGGTCATTGCAAAGTCTCGCTTTCTCTTCTTTGTTTTCCTTTACAATTCATTCGTTTTCTGATTACCAAATTCTTCCGGATTTCAGTTTGTTCTCTTTAATCTTCTTTTTCGATTTGTTTCGTTGTGTTTGAGGCGTTTGGATTGATTTGAAAGCGAATTCCGGTGCGAGGAAGAACTCAGGATTTTGAAGCTATCTACGATAAACTTGAATTTTGTTTTGTATATTCTCATTGGACGGAGGTTTTTTAGGTTTCTCCATGTCAGGCCCTAGAAAAGAAGATTCGATTACCAGCAACGTTAGCGAAGGCGCCGATCGTGATAACGTTGAAGAATTCGGGGATTCGTCTCGAGTTGGCGGTGTTTCTTCGAATGTTGTTGAGGTTTCTGGTGGTCCGCATGCTTCAACAAGGGAGATTAACCTTACGGAGCGGCTGACTCATATGCTTGTTGATGAAGGAGATGGCGATCTGTTGCTACAGCAGAGCGATCGGGAAGATTGGGTTATTCGGTGGCTTCAGGCGCTAGATATGCAAGTCATGGG